TTTGGTGGTCTTCATGTTTGTCCTTCAGTTTTGGTGGTCTTCATGTTTGTCCTTTCTCTATTTTAATTTTATTTTGTCAGATGAAGTTTTCTTTTCCCGATGTCTGACCACGTGAATTCCTCAGAGAAAAGAATGTCACCATGAAAGTGCCCCCCCATCACCGCTGCCTGACTCCATTACACCCCTTCCCCCTGATTCTCACGCTTCACAGTCCCCTGCCCCCGATCAACCGTCACCCCCCCCCCCCCCCCCCCCCTGCACTGTAATGATGTCACTCAGCTGTCACAGTGTGATCCCACCCACGGTCACACACTGAACCACAGGGTTTCTTCTTCTTCTTCTGCTGCTTCTTCTCCATGTGTTCACTATAAAGAAGTGTCACAGTCGTGATGTTTTCACCAGGTCAACGACTGTTGATCAGAGGAGACACTCTAAACCAGTTTCTTCAGATATTGGCCAATCATCGTAGTTCACTGGTCTGGGTAGATAGCCTGGAGCTCAGGAGGGAGTNTGGAAGTCTGAGTGAAAACCAACAACAACAACAACAACGAGTGTTTGACAAACACCCTGCTAGGAATACTAGAAGAAGATTTGATGTTGGAGTCAATCCCAGCAGTCATGGCGTGTGGGCGGTTCACACAGTCCACGGTTCACACAGTACCAAATATTACAAGTTCTAGAAGCTACATGGTCCTAAAACTGGTCCAAAACTAGTCCACTGGAAGGTACCAACCGTCCTAACTGGGATTGGTACACAGTCTGTCATTAACATCAAAGGAAATGCATAACAGGGAAATATATAAATATATGAAACATATGAGACTGATGGTTGGTGCTGTTGCAGCAGCTGACCACCAGGGGTTCATCTGTGGGAGTCTAATCTTCCTAAGATTTCAGTCCGTGGTTTCATCTGCCCCAGGAAGTCATCATCACCAGCCAAGTGTGAAACCAAATCCCACCCATGGTCATCTCACCCATGGTCATCTCACCCATGGTCAGTACCAGCTGAAGACCAGGCTCATCCTCACCCATGGTCATCCCACCCATGGTCATCTCACCCATGGTCATCCCACCCATGGTCATCTCACCCATGGTCAGTACCAGCTGAAGACCAGGCTCATCCATATACATGAGCATGGCTTGTTTTGTTCTTGTTTTGTTCTTGTGTATTTTTGGTGACCACTCACCCAGAAGCTGCTTCAGTGCTTCAGTGCCTCCGTAGTGTAGGAGTGCAGGCCTCAGCTATTCTCGCCTCAGTGATGACGTGTCAGAATGAAAGAGGCGTCAGTGAACGCCGCCCACGACCTCAGGGCCGCGGCTCCGCTGTTGTTGTAACTCTGTGTTTATGTAAGTGGATGTTTATGCAGTAAAAAGAGGTGGATGGTACTGGAGTGGTACTGCAGTGGTACTGGAGTGGTACTGGAGTGGTACTGGAGTGGTACTGGAGTGGGAGGGTTGTTGACTTAATTAGACCGTAGGAGGCAGCCCAGTGTATATATATATTTCTAAACATTTACTCAATCAAATTTAGAAATGAGAGGGTGTGTGTTTTTATATCCAACGTGTGTTTAAAACTGCTGGAGTCAGAGAGAGAGAAACGACTGTGGACGATTATACAGAGACAATCGTCCTGACTACAACGTCAACCTTCTTCCATCAAATGTAATGAATAATATCTGTGCGATGGTCAATGACGTCTTCATAAAGTGATTCCTTAAAAAAAGTGATTTTATACCATTCGTTTATCAAGACAAAAGCATTATTTATTCTAAATCCTGGAAGATGAAAAGTTACTTTAGCCACTAGTGGTCAGTGTGGAGCCTAAGAAAAGTACAAATGTGTGAAGTACCAGTACCAGGAAGGAACACACATATATACCCAGGTACACACATATACAGGTTACACATCTGGTTTTGTGTTTAAGAGCTATCACATTTTCACAGCACTTGTTTGAATATTGTGAGTAACGTGACAGTGTTAGACCTCTGATGAACTGTGGTTCTGTGGTGTAGCGGTTTGCATGCCTGCCTCAGAAGCTGAGAGTCTTGGGTTTGATTCTGGCCTGCGAAATGCATTAATGTAACTGTAAGGTGTCTTGTGGTTCTGGTTGCCTTTGCCCCCCCGTAGGGGGTGCTGTAAGCACAGCTTCAGCATTATGGTGAGGTGTAAACCTGCTAGTAAATTATAGTTAGTAACAACCACTGAGGTTAGTACTAAAATGTCGTCAGATCCTTTGGAGATTGCTGGTTTACAGTCACTGTACAGGGGACTAGTTCAGAGATAATCCTTCTCAACAGGCTGCTCCCCGTTTCACTGTTTTGACTTGAACTAGCGCCACCTAGTGTGGCTGGGAAACGTCTTCTAGGTAAACAAATGGAAAAGGAGAAAGTACAGGCAGAGGAAACACAGCGTAACCTCGAGTCTATTCTATCCAATACTTTCATCCGCAGGTTTTTCTGTTGTTTTTGATGACGAAGTTATTGATGTGTTTTTACTTCGCCTTTAATTCTTGAGTCTCTTCTTATCCTCGCACCTGTGGCACTTTTTTCAAGCGCTTTGGAGCAAAAATAAACTTCTCTCCTGTTTCGCTGCTCCGGCTCAGTGAAGTCGTTTACATAACGTTTATTTGAGAACAACTTTTACAGGCGCGCACACAAACACATTCCGGGTGGAAACCTTACACCTCTCCAACAAAAACATTCAGCCGTCTCTATTTCTTCTTCTCCTGCCCTTTCTTCTTCATCTGGCTGCGGTTGAAAGGAATGGAGTGAACGGGGAAAGTGATATAGCCAATCAGAGCAGCGGGTGCATTCGATTTTTCCTCTCCCCTGTTTCTATTGGCCTCTGGTTCCCCCAGAGACTGCCGCCCTCGCGCTCTGATTGGTCAGCTTTCCCGGCTCTGTCGGGATCATTTGAATACGCCTCGCTTTGAGGCTCCTCGTCCTCAACATCAAATTAAGTCGAGAACGAGCAGCAGATTCACACAATGGAGCGGAGCGTACGGTGGTCGTAGTGATCACACACTGGTCAGGGTTCGATTACTCACGCCGTGCGTTTGGTTTACACCGCGCTGCAGTCGGGAGACGAACTCAAAGTGCGGAAAAGTGAAGGAGTTTGGAGACTTTCCTTGGACCTGATTACTTTCTGTCGACTGTGTGTGTGTGTGTGTTGTTCCCGGACTCACAGGCAGCTGCGTCAGTAAGAGGTGAGTGGTTGACGACTCCGTGACGGACTTGTTGATGTGTGGACATGGTTGTACAGAAGTTGTTGGTTTTCACGCTGCTTTAAGTTGTTACATAAGCAGCAGACGGTTATCGAGGTCATTACAACACACTTTACACAACTAACAGAACAGAACAGTGACGTCGGTACACGGAGCAGAACAGACGGCGGTCTGTCCACCTGACTTCACTTCACTTTTAGCTGTTTTTGTGCGAACTTTTCATGATGATGTTTTCATCTGATTTTATGACAGCGCTAAGCTGTGTGTCATGTCGGTCAACCTTTGGATGGATGGATGGATGGATGGATGGATGGATGGGTGGATGGATGGATGGATAACCAAATTTCCCTCGGTAGTTCC